TTCATCAGTACCATAAGAATGGCATACAGTTCTGCCTTTTGTACAGAGCTGTATGGACTTTGTATCACTTTACTTAAGTGTCCTGATTTATACATGTTATGATATTATTCCTAGAAACATGCATTGGTCTGTATTTTTTTTTCTGAGAGTGCAGGAATTTTAATCTGGGTATTCTACTGTTGTAACAGATCTCGGCCCCAAAGATTTACTGCTACATTTGTTACATATGGCTTCAACCTTCCTCTCTGTCCTTCTGGCCCTATGCATTCAACCCATCTTGAACTCTGTTTTATCTGAGATCGGGTGCCAATCCCTAAAAGTTGGACATCTACCTCTTGAAGAGGCCAATTCGGATGCCATGATTTGGGTGTAATTATAGTCACATCTGCACCTGTGTCTACCAGGCCCTCCAGAATCAGGCCATTAATTCAAATTCTAAGCTTTGGTCTTTGTTCATTTATGGAAGTCTGCCAAAATATTTGTTTTATAGTGTTCTTTGTAAACTGTGATCCATCTATCAAAGCTGCTTTGTCATCCATTGCAGTATCGGTTTTTACATTAGGCATTGGTTTATTCAGTTGTCCTGAAGAGGAATTTTTTCCAAAGTGGCTGGGAATGTTCATACTATGTTTGATTTGGGGGCCTGCAAGAGGCCCCCTGAGGCATTTCCTGTCAGTAAAGGGTTGCCTTGTATATCTATTTTTGATCTGCACTCATTGGTCCAATGTTGGCCTTTGCCATACCTTCTAAATAATCTAGGAGGTGGTTGGGGGTCTTCTGTTTAGTCTATTCCTAAAAGGAATATTACTTCTAGGAGTACCCCATGTACAGTTTTTACTTATATGACCTGGTGTACCACATTTAAAACATTTGGTACCACGGGGCCTTCTTCCACCTCTGGGATTTGTCTTTCCTATTCAAGCCTTATTACTGTAGTTAAGAGACTCAACACCATTAGTATACTGAATCTATTCCTTCAAAGGAGCTGATCTGATCTTTAATGGTGTAAGTATTCTTCTGTATTCTGCATTAGCATTGTCGAATGCCAAGGACTCAGTTAATATTTTTTTAATACTTTATCTGACACAGCTTTTGTTATAGCTGTGTTTAGTCTTTGTAAAAAATCAGCGAAGGGTTCATGTGGTCCCTGAAATATCTTTGTGTATAACTCAGTTGGTTTTCCAGGTTCTGGAATTTTTTCCCAAGCATTTAGAGTTGCTGTATGGCATAGGGATATTGTATGCTCATAATAGGAAAATGTCATTCATCATACAGGCAAAAAGGTTTTCAAACTCTTGTGAGGTAATGTTGTTGGCCATATTACAAGAATTACTCAAAATTTATTAGTCAATTTTAAGATATGAAATTATCAAGTGTGTTTACTTGAAATAAGACACCGCTTTGCCTATCTTACCTTTCCATAGTTCTGGGGGATGTTATAGCACTTTTCAGCCAGAAGAATGCCTTTGCTGGCAGCAGAGTGAGCACAGGCAGCAGGCAGTTTTTCGGGTGACCCCCTGGAGCTTCAGGGCATGGAGACTTTCAGGCAGCTCTAAGCTTCTCTCTGCCTGTATAGACAATAGGTCTGCCAGCAGGCACAGTGCCCTGTCTATTTTAACTAGGTAAAACTGTGGAAGCCTTGGGCTAGGACAGGGAGCGGCACTCAGGGAGGAGAGGGAATGCCCCACTCACAGCAATCTCTCTGGTCTGGGGATAAACTTGCTGAGGAACTGAGACCAGATTAGCTCCTTTTCAGGAATGGAACTGTGTAGGTTTTTCCTGGTTTTACGGAACTCTGCAGGCGGTAACCTACAGCTTCAAGCACCTGCCAGCTGGGGAGGAAGCTGAGGGCAGGAGCCACCCAGGCCTTTGGAATTTGCCCTACATGAGTGCCAGATATTGGAGAAATTATTAAGGCCACTCCACATAGTTAAAAGGGAAATTTATTTAGTGGCATAACTTACAAATGAAGGGATAGGTAGGTTGCAGGGTCTGGGAAAGACATAGCGCATTCCGGCGGTGAACTCTGCTTGGACTACCTCCAGCGTCCAGGGTCAAGGAAACAAGAGAGGGTGGTGCATCTGGATCTCAGGTATTCAGGGCCCTCTCTTGGCCCCGCCTTGTAGGTGTAACAGTTACTGAAGCCTCAATGGGGGTTGGAGCTTCCAGACCAAAGATGGAATGGCTACCCACTACAGAACCTATTACTATTTTCTGCTAAATGGATATAGCATTAAACTATCTCCTAATGACATTATACACATAGATTAAGGCATCTCTCAACCCTCATCAGAGAAGCTTCTATTTGCAGTAGACCCTGACCAACACAGATACCCATCCCTAATCAATGTTCAGAGAATAAGAGACTATAAAATGTTCAGTCCTAAAAAGAACACATGTACCACACTTCCCCCTCCAAAGACTCAAGGATCATTGCATAAAGAATATGAGTCAGATGTTTTGGATGTCTACAACAAAATAGTGTCTTCTGAATACACCAGAGCAGCTGCACATATAAATTCACAGTCGTTATGATAGCATGCATAAGATCTATGCAAACTCAAGCTAGACCAAATCCCAGCACTGACTGGGGAGTTAGGCATGAAGTCTTGCCTTTGGCAGAGATGCTGTTGGCAGTTATTAGATGCTGGCAGAGGAAGGATCAATTTTCCCTAAAAGTGTAGCCTTTGATAAGTCTACCAAGCTCCAAAGGAAGGCCACAATCCAAGTATATTTGGGAAACACAAACTGACCTTGACAGAAAATAAAAAGACACAAATGGGTGAAAAGGAAAGAGAGCTGATCTGGAAAGACTTGAGGGAAGAAGGGTGAATATTTTCAAAGCATGTTGTTTAAAATTTTCAAAGAACTAACAGAGAGAGAGACAGAGAAAGGGAGAGAGGGGGAGAAGGAGAGTAAGAGAAACAGGGACAGACAGACAGAATGGAGAGAGACAGAGAGAGATCGAGGGGAGAGGGAAAGAAAGAGAGAGAAAGAAAGAAAGAGAGAGAGAGGAAGGAAGGAAGGAAGGAAGGAAGGAAGGAAGGAAGGAAGGAAGGAAGGAAGGAAGGAAGGATGGAAGG